CTCTCTGTTCCTTTTCAAACATACACTGTTGTTTTTGTGTAGCTTATCTGTGTAGTTGATTTAATTAGAAACTTACAGATAACGTCTTATTTCAGAGTCTAATCTTCACGTGGTTTGTCCAGAGCACTCTCTGATTCACACACTAGTTATTTTCAGTTTTCACTCACTGTGTCTTCAGCGATTCACTAGCTTAGCTCATAGCCGACTTGTTAGCAGCGTGGCCTCTTGACCTGTTCCTCCTGCACTTTCCTGCTCATTGGGTCAGATGTTTAACCCCCGGTACACCACCAACACCTTCTTGTGTCTAATCGTTCTGCTGCCAGACAAAAACAAACCAAACTTGAGCAAATGATTTAAATACAAATAATCAAGAAAGAACAATATTGTGTCCTCAACAGCACCAAAGAGTAAAACAGTGAAATGTTAAACTTTAAACATTGCGTCTCTCTCTTCTAAGTCCCTGTTAGTACATTAATTAATAAACAAATGGATTTACCTGGTTACAGCAGGATGATTATGTTAGTTTAAAGGGAACCCCGGCTATTAAGACATGTTTGCGCTAAAATATGTACTGTGCTTTCAATAACACATATGTGGTATTAAAATATACTAAATTTTTTCCTTCTAAGCACATTTTATCTAAAACCGATTTACCAGTAGGTCGCCATTGTTATTTACTTCTCAATGCACTCTGGGTAGTGACGTCATACAGTTGCACCGCATCCAGTTCAGTTAGCAGTGCACTGGAAATGGCTTCTGTTCAACCTTTCCAGTTTGAACCAGAGCAAACCGAGAGAGAGGATGCAAACAGTTAACCAGCAGCATTTAGATGAAGATGAAAACAATCCGTCACACGATGACGAGAGAGTGAGGGAAAACTACTGGTGTCTATGCAGCTACTGCTTGCCAATGGCAACGGCGACTCAGAGCGTTTGTTGTTTGTCTTAATCCAGATGTTCTTTGGGCAGCCCTTGTTAGCATCTATGACCGGTATCCAGTCGTTAAGTGATGATGTGATGAATCCTGCTTCCGGGCCCAAAGTAGTCTGCATTTAATAAGACTGTTGTGTTTTTAACATGTTTTAATGTTTTGTATCTTGTTCGATTTAATCTCAACAAGCCCCTAAAAACAGTCAGTGGTCACTGTCGGCTTCTCACAGTTTTTATTACTGCCAATCATTTTAAAGCTCAGATTTTAAACCCTTACGATGTAACTGCAGCCCAGCCCATGCAGCAGCAGTATATTAATGACTAACCTCGTATTGTGGATGGATTATCTCAGTTGTTCTCCTGACTGAAGTTTGGTCCTTTTACAGCATCCTGCCATGCGATTGCATTCGTCCCTAACCATCAGGAACTTTTATCGAGTGGGGAAAAAAGTCCTCCGTTTGTTAGCGTTCATCCTCCAGCTTTACTGTTTATGTGATGCTAACATAGCGATCACGTAGCACATCATTATATACCAGCTAGCCCAACTTCAGTAACCCTACAAACGTCACTGCTGTTTAGTTT